ATACCAAAATGTTTAGAATTATGGAGGTAATTACCAGAACAAAAGATAGAAACCTAAAGAGGTCATCCCATTGAAATAAAACTAGAGAGGAAGGTGTGGGGATGGATTGTCTCACTTCACACTTCACAATTTCTTATCCAGAGGAGGGTAATAAGGATAGAAGGATAAGGTAATAAGGATAAAAATGGCTCTCACATATCACTAGCACAAACATTCCCACTGAGGTACAGACTCACATATGAATTGCTTATAAGAACAGTAGCTTAAATGTCTCTCAGTCTCAACTGAAATCCATTTTAGTGGAAAAAGTGCAGTCATTTGGGCGATGACGGCAAAGCACAAGGGACGGTGGGAGCAAAGGCATGGCTGGAATGAGTGGCATGGCTTTTGCAGCTTAGCTGTTGCATAAAGCATTGCCTCTGTGCGGTGTTCCGTGATTATTCGGTTTGATTTCACACCACTCCTTGTGTATACCACAAACATCTACTACTGTCCTCCAGTATAATTATTGCTTCATGGACTTGCCATCCCTATATACATTAAGCTCCTTGAAGGCAGCAAGGTTAATGGGCTTAAAGCTGGAAATAAATAAATAAATATATATATATATATATTGAATTCCTCCGGTCTGAATATTTAATTTCTCTGTCATTCATGCTTTTTGACGTATGAAGTCTTTTAAGAATTACTGAGTAGGTGATCCATAAGTTCAGTGCGAGGAAGGTTAATAATCTCCGAGGAGAAACTGAGTATATGCTGTTTTGGAATTATTCAGTTGTCATGAGACTGATATTCCTGAGGATTACAACATATACTATACAATATGTTTTCTATACCTTAGGCAAAAGTTCTTTGAATTTAATTATTTATTTGATTACTTTTAACAACAGTTGTAAGGCAAGGAAATATAATTGCTTTCGAATGAAACAGAAGACCTGGATGCTTTCAGTTCTCAACACAGGTACAGCTATGATTTATTACAGTAGCATCAATGATTTATATGCTTCTACTAACATAGTTTCAGGACAAAGTAGCATATTCAGGAACATATTTTCACAATCCTTTCTACTCACTTCTTCCTTTAGAATTCATAGAGAAACTCAGAAACACAAGCTGTCCAAACCATTCAATATGCTAATATTAGATAAAACTCATGTTCTATCAGCATTTTTTAGGAAAATAAAATATTGCATTGGTAACCTAATTATTACAAACTTGCAGACACGGCTGGTGCTTAGCAAACTACTGAAATCAATGACCGCTTAAGTCTCCTCCAATTCACCTTTAAGACGCTGTAGAGCTCTACTGGGGAAGGCCCACCCCTTGGTCTTGCTGTTGGTGCCCATGTGACTGTGCTTCCAGTCTGTGTGCCCTAACATGGGCAGGATCCAGTACTCTCTAGATCAGGGGTCCCCAACCTCCAGGATACAATGCCTGAAGATCTGGGGTGCAGTTGATGTAATAGTAGTAGAAATTAAGTGCACAGTAAATATAATGTGCTTGAATCAGCCTGAAACCATCCCCCACACCTGGTCTATGGAAAAATTGTCTTCCGTGAAACCCACTCCTGGTGACAAAAAGGCCAGGGACTACTGCTCTAGACAGACCTTACTCTTTCCTCCTCCACCCACCAGGTATTATCTCTTCACCAACCCACTCCTTCAGACACGACTATTGGAGCTAGTGGGAACAATGGAAAGTACACACCTAATCAGGAAGAAAATAATGTATGTCAAAGTCAAAGCAAACTAAATATGTTAGACCTCTTAGATAGTTTAATATTCTTGGCTCACTTGAAATATGAAATCTTTTCAATAAGTGCCTGAAAAATCATGAAAGTTTTTAACATAAGGGCAAACTAGCAGAATGCTCTACAGTAGCTATTTTTAGGCACATTTTGTGGGTCACTTAAATCTTATCAGGAAGGTAATTTTCTGTTTCCTCATAAACTAGGTCCTCCCATCATGTCAAAACTGAGTAGTGGAAGAGTGAACATGAAAAGTATTAACTAGATAATTCATACATCAAAATAAATATTGGTTTTGGAACATAAATTTCAACATAGCATTTTCATGAATGTTATTTTTTTTTATAAACTTACAGTAATATTTTAATACACTGCTTGCTTATATCAACTGTCACTGTTAAAAATATTTACCTGTATAGATGAAACCTGAAACATGTGTGACTAGGGTTGGGGTGAGGAAGGAAATGGGGTGGGAACATTTGCTATTCAGACTTGATTACCTAAAAGCTTGAATCCATATTTTGATTATCAGAAGCAAAATATTAAAAATATTTTTTCTAGTCCAGATCAGGTTATATTCTCTCTTTAGACTAATTTTCTGCCATCAATTTATATCATCCCTGTTGATATTTTATTAAGTATTTTGACTGCAAAGAGGCTTAAGAATAGCTGGTCAACAATTCTTAAAATCTCCACTTGTATACTTCAAGGCAGTTATAAACTCACTCCTCACATCTCCTTTATAATCAAACACTTCAAACAATGTTATTACTTTTTAAAAATTCCAAATTTCTAATCATATAATCTTACTTTTATATTTTGGGCCATATATAAATTCTCCAGATTTCAGTTGTCCAAAATTTGATACACTGAGTTTTAAACTAATGATGCAAAATGTGGATGAAGTTTTATCTTCAGAATTTTTCATGGGAATAGCNATGGTGTATATGTACCACAGCTTCCTCATCCATTCGTCTGCTGATGGGCATCTGGGTTGCTTCCATGTCCTGGCTATTATAAACAGTGCTGCGATGAACATTGGGGTGCATGTGGCTCTTTCAGATCTGGTTTCCTTGGTGTGTAATACTTCATAATCACAGACCCTACTTCTGATGTTCCCCACAAGTGATATACAGATTCCCCAATGAAGATATATAGGTTCAACATTCAAAAGATAAACTGAATGTCAAAGAACATTAAATATTATAATGCTATTTAAAAGATATAGCCTATTATAAGAAGTTGATAAACCTACCAGTATCAAGATACTGACTAAAAATGAAGGCAAAGGTAGACCATCAAGATCAGTAACTAAACTAATAGGCCGTCCAATCCTAAGTAAGAGAATTACAGTAAGAAACATAGGTTGAATCATTAAAAGGAAGAGATGATGCTATAATTTATTCATTTCTTCAGCCTTATGATTGTCACCATATATAGTGACCTCAATGAAGCTACACTGAAGTTTTATCTTGACTCCTTTTATGAAATAAATTTATGAACCAAGTGATTTTGAAAACATAAGTAATACATATTATAAGAAGCAGCTTTTTATCCTTATGATAATTCTAGATAAAATTTTGTATGCATGGAGTATAAATCCAAACTCTAACTAGAAATTTTTATACAAAAGATTATTCATACATATGTTGAGTTGCCATTTTCCTTGACATGTAAGAATTGCTCATAAAAGAATAAACTTTTCTTTCAGATCAACACAGCCTGTGGATCTTTTTTACTTTCTATTAATCTTAATTTTCATGAACTTATGCTTATCTCACATATTTATGTCTTATATATATAAAACGTACCACATAGAGGAGTTAAATCTAACCACAACTCTTACTGTTCATTATTTATTCCTGTTCTTTTAAACAAAAAATTATTGGAATATAGTTGGTTTGCAGTGCTGTGTTAGTTTGCTGTGCAGCAAAGTGAGTCAGTGGTACGCATATACACATACCCCCGCTCGTTTAGTTGCGTCTTACTGCTGGCTGCTCCACGTCTGTCCCGCGGGGTGGGCTTTCGTCGCATTGCCCGAGCGGGGGCTGCTCTCTACGGCAGGGTGAGCTCCCCACCGCGGGGGCATTTCTCGGGGTGCAGCGCACGCCCTGGGCTGCGCGGCCTCGCAGTGTGGCCCCGGGCTCCCGGGCACAGCCTCAGCAGACATGGTGCATGGGCTTAGCGGCTCCGCAGCGTGTGCGCGCTCCCTGGACCGGGGATTGAACTCATGTCTCCGGCATTGGCAGGAGGGTTTTCTACCCTGGGCCACCAGATAAGCCTGGATTTTTCCCCAGATAGGCATGTTGGAGTACCGAGGAGAGTCCCCAGCCTACTATGCACTGTTTCCCGCTCCATTCACAATGGCTTCCTTACAATTTCCCAAATACTCAGTCATACATGTATCTCAGGACATTTATCCTGGTTTATCTCTTGATCTAGGACTCTGTACTCGAGACATGAACAGGCTCACTGTCCCTTGTTAAATAATTTATTCCAATGTCATGTGAAGAGAGACACCTTTCCTAATTACCTGATTTAGAATTCCACATTTCCCTATCATTTCTCAGTCAGAACCCCCTATATCTCTACCTATTTTATTTAAACAACATTAATAGATGAAATGATACCTATTTTTTCATAAATAATTTTGACTCCCTTTACTTGACCAAACTGTTGATTGTTCTTTTCAGTTTTGTTTTCTTTTAGATTTCTAATGCTTAGAGTGGTACTTGACATATACTGGCTTTCAATAAAGATGACTACAAAAGAGGTATTAGGACTATGTATCTGTATATGAAAAATGTAAAGTGGTTAAAATATATGCTCGTAAGTCAAACAGCATAATACTAGAGTGCAGTTTCATCACTTTCTATTGTAATTGTGTAACTTGGAGCAAGTTATTAATACCGCAAGGCTTTGGTTTCCTTGTCTTTAAACTGAATAATAACAATTGCTACTTGTATTATTAATAGTTTCCTGTATTAGCTGTAACAAATCACCACACATTGGGTGGCTGAAAACAAATCTTTTACTGCCTCACATGTAGGCGCTCGAAGTCTCAAATCTGCAGGACTATGCTCCTTCTCCAGGCTCTGGGGGGGAGAATTTTCCAAGCCTTTCTCCTAACTCTTGGTGCCTGCCTTCTGTCCCACTTTAATCTTTGTCTCCACTGCCAGATGCCCCCTTCCCTATGCCTCTCTGTTTCCAATATTTATAAGTCCATTAGCCACTGGCTTTAGGACCTACTCACCCTAATCCAGTATGATCTCATTTTAATTCGACTGTACTGGCAGAGACATTTCCAAATAAGGCCATATTCAGGTCACTGCAATATAAATGATAATGATGAGAAAAATAGTGTTAAAATAGTTATCTCATACTACATAGGAGATACACTGTGTGGTAGTCTATAATTTGCATGAGTTAAGTCCTTAAAATGACAACTCAGTTGGTTAGTATGATTACTTTCTCTTGATTGCTGGCTGAAAATGGAGACACAGATTAAATAAATTGTCTGAAGTCACACAGTTAATTAGTTGTAGAGTTGAGATTAGAGTACAGCATGTCTGGAGCTCGAGGTTTGGTTCTTATTCATGATCTTACACTCCATCTTAGTGATATAATCCCCTTTCATTTTCTACATTTCTCTCTAAACTGTCAGAGGCAAGTGTCTGCTCGCTGGTTTACCACTGTGTACCCACAATCTGGCATACTTCCTGCATCAGATAGGTGCTTTAAATTGTTACTAAATGGCTGGCCTGTGGATAGGGTATAAGTTTATACACTTTATGTTTATAAATAAATACTGAGCAGAAACTTTGATCCTGATTTCTCTCTAAATTAGAAAAGAATAAACCTGAAAACAGTAGTCCTTGTCTGAATATTGTGGATGAATCATCAATTGGTCAACTCTGAAAACCATGCAAGTCATATTATAATCAACAATCCATTTGGTAATGGGTGTGAAAACATTTCTCAAATAATGATTTCAGAAGAATTACCATCACAAATGTAATATTCCAATTTGATCATATCTCCTCTCCTAAGAGATTTCATTTTCCTTAATTTTAGTACTCCTTTATAGTAGGAATAATTATGCTTTTAATCACTGGTTAATTCAAACTGCTCAAATCTTTTAGGAGATTTTCAAATAAAAAACGCAGAGTATTCACTTGCTATGTACTATAAACAAAACTATCATTCATTTTGCCATACTGTAACTTCTTTGATTTTACATCTAAAAGAGTAAATATAGGCAGAATATCCTCAGATTAGAGATCTCTCAAGTTATTAGAGCATTACCTTTAAATACGAACTAAGTTGTTTGTTAAGAATATTAGGTTGATAATCTATAATATTATAGCATTACAGGAAGTAAAGTATTACACATGTATATGCAGATAAGTTTATATACAAATATGCTCTACATCAACAAAATAACAAGTGAAAATACTCAAGATTTAATAGAAGCCAATACATACACATGGGAAGAGGAAAATATATATGTCAATATTTGTAGAATGCATGAGTATAAAAGTACAAAAACACAGACAAATTGGACAAAATAAAGAGCTGAGAAACAAACCCTGATATATATGGAAAAGGGAATGACAGAGATGAAAAAATAGATTCTTCAACTGTCCTTCAACAAGATATGACTATATGAGAAAATAGAGCCACTGTCACATATTAAAATGTATTACATATAAACAAAATAATTAAAAGATGAAAAACTTTAACTGTTAAAGGTGGATATAAACAATTAGACTTTAAAACAAAACAGTGACAGATTTTTGAAACAGGATATGAAAACACAAACTATTAGAACTAAGTTTCATTTAACTACATTAGAATAAAAAACTTCATACAACAGAATGTGCCATACACAAAACTATAAATCATGCTAAGGAGTGCCTAGGAGAGTTTACAACACATGTGTTTACTATGCAAGTAATAGCAAAAGAATAGCACCTCGACACATAAGTAAGTCTTTACTTACATAAGTAAACCCTACTTACATAAGTAAGCTTTTCACATATTCACTGTTGAAGCAGACAGAAGAAATGTTGCAAAAGCTCCAGTGTTGGAGATATGAGTGGTGTTTTAAAGGAATACAACTTCAAATTAATAAAGATATTACAAATAACACAATTGCAAAGTGAGAAAAGGACATAAATGGGCAATTAAAAATAGAAAAGCAGGTCATTTTATACACATAAGAAATACGCTGAAACTCACTGATAATGAGGGTTATACACATTCAAAAAAATATTCTATAGTCATACAAGTGATAAAATTTTTGAAGCCTGATCATACCACATGTTGGTGATAATGGGTTTTCTTGTACACGTAATATGGGAATACTAATTAGTACATATATTTTGGGAAATCAATGTGAAACCAAGTAGTCTTTCATCTTAGTCTTTCATTTCCTTGGTTAAATTCATCCTTAAGTATTTTATTCTTTTATTGATGCTATCATAAATAGAATTGTTTTCTTGATTTCCTTTTTGGATGAATTGTTGTTGACATAAAGAAATGCAGCTAATAATGACTTTGCATCCTGCAACTTTACTGAATTCATTCATTAGTTCTAACAGTTTTAGTGGTGTCTTATGGTTGTCTACACACAGCATCATGCCATCTATAAACAGGTATAATTTTACTTCCCTTCTGATTTGGATTCTTTTTATTTATTTCTTGCCTGATTGCTCTTTCTAATCATCCTAGTACTATAGTGAATAAAAGTGGTAGGAGTGGGATTCCTGCCTTGTACCATATCTTAAAGGAAAAAGCTTTCTGTTTTCCCTATTAATTATGATGTTAGCTGTGGGTTTTTCATAAATTGCCTTTATTTTTTTGAGAACATTTCCTTTTGTAGGCATTTCTATCTATTTTGTTGAGAGAGTTTATCAAGAATGAATGGTAAGTTTTGTCAAATGCCTTTTCTGCATCTGTTGAGATGATCATGTAGGTTTTATCTTTCTTTCTGAAAATGTAGTATATCACACTGATTGATTTGCATATGTTAAACTCACTTTGGATTGTAGTTTCTTAATGTGTTATTGAATTTTGCAAGTATTTTATTGAGTTTTTTTGCATCTATATTTAAGATGGATTTGGCCTTAGTTTTCTTTTCTTGTAGTACTTTTGTATGGCTTTTGTATCAGGGGGATGCTTGTCTCATGAGTGTGGTATTAAACTCTCTATTTCCATTTTTTGAAAGAATTCAAGAACAATCAGTATTAATTCCTTTCTGAATGTTTGGTAGAACTCAGCCTTGAAGTCATCTGGTCCTGGGCTTTTCGTCCTTGGGAGATTCTGATGACTACTTTAATCTCCTTATTTATTATTGTTCAATTGAGATTTTCTAATTCTTCTTGATTCAGTCTTGGTAGGTTGTATGTTTCTAGCAATTTATCGACTTCTAAATTACCCAATTTATTTGCATATTATTAGTAGTAATTGCTCCTTATAATCATTTTTATTTCTGAAAAATGTGCTTAATATCTCCTTTCCCATTTCTGATTTTATTTGAGTTTCCTTTTCTCCCTTAGATTTTGTTGATTTTATTTCCTCAAAAAAAAAAAAACCTAACTAACTTAGCTTTGTTGGTTTTTTAATTCTGTATTTATTTCTGCTCTACCTATATTGTTTCTTTCCTTTTATTAACTTTGGTTTAATTTCTTCTTCTTTGTCTACTTCCTTGAGGTGTAAAGTCAGATTGTTTATTGGAGATCTTTATTGTTAATGTAAACATTTTAAACTATAAATCTGGTTCTTCATTTATAACTATAAATCTGGTTCTTAATGCTGCATTCCATAAGTATAAGAAGTTGTGCTTTCATCTCATTTCTTGAAATATTTTAAAAATATTCTTCTGATTTCCTCTGTAATCCAATGGTTTAAGAGTGTGTTAGTTTCCTATTATTTGTGAATTTTCCTGCTTTCTTGCTATTATCAATTACTGGTTTCATTCCATTGTGCTTACAGAAGATCTCTGGCATAATCTTGATCTTTTTAAGTTTATTGAGACTTGTTTTGTGATCTAACATTTGTTCTATAATGGGTTATGATCTGTGTACATCTAAGAGTAATGTATATCTTCTACTGTTTGGTGTATGCTTTAAACAGCATATGGCATGATTTTTTTTGCTCCATGGTATTTAAGATATGCTTTCCCAAAGTCAAATAAATAACCTAACTCTACACCTAAAGCAACTAGAGAAGGAAGAAATGAAGAACCCCAGAGTTAGTAGTAGGAAAGAAATTTTAAAAATTAGGGAATAAATAAGTGCAAAAGAAACAAAAGAGACCACAGCAAAAATCAACAAAGTTAAAAGCTGGTTTTTTGAAAAGATAAATAAAATCGACAAACCATTAGCCAGACTCATCAAGAAACAAAGGGAGAAAAACCAAATCAACAAAATTAGAAATGAAAATGGAGAGATCACAACAGACAACACTGAAATACAAAGGATCATAAGAGA